TATTCCATTGTATATATGTACCACATCTTTCTAATCCAGTCATCTACTTTTGGGCATTTGGGCTGCTTCCATGTTTTTCCAATTGTAAATAAGCTATGCTTTTTGTGCCACCAGGGAGAGCCCAGGAATCTGATTTTCTGATAAAGCTTTTGTCTATTTTGAACTCTGTTATACAAACATAACACTAATAATTAGAATAGACACAGTAAAGTGACTGAATGACATCAGGTAAGGGAAGTGCACGAGAGGCTATGTTTGGAAAGCTCTCATAGGCAGCCTGAGAAAGATGGACTTGAGAGTGGAGGCATCAGTGGTTGGGGGCAAAGAAAGAAAGTAGCAAGTGATTATAGAAGCTCAACAAGAAGTCATGGGATTTTGAAGACAGTGGTAATGGCAATGGAAAGGCAATAAACTTGAGCTACTGAAAAGATAAATATTATCAAATCAGGTTTCAGCCCGAGAAGCAGAAACATTGAAAGGGTTCTATTAAGTGACTCAAATCTTTCCCGATGTAGGAGTTGGTTAAGCAGTTTTCCTAAGGCTGTTATCTTTAAATCTGATGCTAGAACAATGGTCTAGCTAGAGGGATTTGAGGTTGGGGAAGGGGTAGGTATTCTATTTCTGATGAGGTGGTTTAGGAGTGAGGAAAGCTGGATCTGTAGTGAAGAAGCTGAAATAACACAATCCTGCTCATAGTAATGCCTCAAAGCAAGCATTATAAAATCCAAGTCAAACACAGCTCCCTACCATTTAAGGGAATGATAATAATAATGATTTCCACAAAACCCCTGGAAGTTTGGCATTATTATCACTACATAAACATGAAATTATTATAAATCTTTTTTTTAAAAGATTTATTTATTTATGTATACAGAACTGGGGTACAGGCCAGAAGTGCAGGGGCGGTGAGAGGATTCACCAGAGACAGAGTGGTGAACAGAACAGGCAGGTTGAGAAAGTACACTGCTGAGGGGAGCAGCAGGTAGGCCAGGAGAAGTCTGCCACCATGTGGTCACCTCCGGGGTGGGTGGGGTTCTAACTCATGTTGAAGTGGCTTAAGCTTCTTACTGCTGTGCTTTGACCAGGGAGGGCCTGGCTAAGAGACTCTTAAGACAGATAGCTATTAAGGGGCACATCTGGGAATCAGGATTCTAACATTACATCAACAATCTAGTTAGGGTGAGAGAATTCTAAATTAAGTCACTATTTTCTCAAATCTCCCAAAGTCAGTACACAGATAGTACTAGACTATTTGTATTAAGGATCAATTAACTCCTTTCATGAAATGCATGCTACAAGGGTTTAGCACTAAATTTTTTCAGGAACCTGCACAAAGGGGCTGTGCCATAGAGCTGACAGACATAGCTGGAGTTTGATAGGTTCTCAGGGACCACTGATAGGAAATAAATGGGAAATGTCTGTGAGGAAGAAGTTATGCAAAAACAAAAATAATAGGGCCCTTCTTGGTAGATCAATAGGTTGAAGCACAGCACTGGGAAGCTAGCCGCAGCCACTTCAGTGAGGTCAATCCCTGGCCAGGGAGGTGACCCACATGGCATCTCCTGTCTTGACCGCTGCTCCCTCAGCAGTACTTCGTCAGTACTCCTATTCTGCTCCACTCTGCTTCTGGTGAAGCCTCTCACTGCCACTGCACCTTTGGTATGTACCCCACCCAGACCTGTATGCATAAATAAGTAAATCTTTTTTTTTTTTCTAAAAAAGACTATGTATTATAAATCAGACACAAGTTTAAAAAAGATATTTAATTTTAAAAAGATGTGTAATTATTTCACATTTAATAAACTGATATTAGTTTCAGGAACAGCAGTTGTCTTATCACCATCAGTCACTTCACAAAGCAGCTGCTCCCAGTGGAGGTCCGGAGCCAACTGTGGTGCTGCCCAGTCCCACGTGCACTGCGGACTCCCCATCTGATGGGCCCAGACACGCTTCTGTGAGCACAGCTCAGAGGTAGGCACAGAGTCGCTCCAGCTGCCCAGGATTCCCATTACTTAGGAATAGCAGTTCCTTTTTTCCTTCTTCTGTGTGAGCTACAAAGGAGGCAAGCAGATAGTTGGCCATTCTTCCTACAGCATTGTTAGTTATGAAATCTTTAGTCAGAGGCTATTATCCAGTTACATTCCTTTTTAATAAGCCTCCTCCCAAGGATCTCACTTTTATATCATTTATACCAATAGAAAGTCTGCATTATTTTTTCTATAGATAATTTTCCATTTTGTCTCTGTCCCTGTAATCCAGCACTTACTCCTGTCGTCTGTCCAAAAATATCTTGTGGAGTGTAGGACTTTGCCTAACCCCCTACCCCATTAGATATCTCTCCTCTACACCTCCTGACCCACCATGTTGCAGGTCCCTTGACTGCTTCAAAAACCTATTACAACTGCAGTTAGCTCTTCTTATTGAATGATAAAACCACCTCAATTTCCCCCATACTCCTCTCACACCCAGAGCTGAGGGGAAGGGTAAAATGGGCAATGGGATTCTCTCACACACACACAGGACAGCAAGCATTTGTGGGTCTGTGGCAGCCTCTCACACAGTGGCAGTTACTCTGGTGGGTGTCCCAGAAGGTGTCTCTCAATTGAAATTTGTTGAATAGTGAAAGAATCCAACAGCGAAAGGGTGGTAGCAACGCAAAATCCTGGCATCTCTGCACAGTACTAGGCATGGGCTGGCCTCGCCTCTTAGCATGACTGTTATTCTAGGCTAATATAGGACTTTAGGGAGAGTAAGAATTTTTGTTTTTATATTTCAAGGCACAGGCTCATTAGAAAAAGGAAAAGGAAAAAGAGCTACACCTAAGCAGACAAGGTGGGCAATCTTGGGAGGCGAGCTGCCAGAAGTTTTTGGTGACTTAAACCTTAACTTCCCACCTGACTCACCATTCTGTACCATCAAGTCAGGCAGAGAGTAGACAAGATTAAGAGAAAAAAGATGAAATTCAAATTATAGGGCACTGCTGAAGAAATAGAGAGATCAAGTTCTGATTCAGCAGGACTCTTCCGTGGGCACAAAGCCCTGACAGGCAAAACAACTAAACAACTGACCATTCTTGTGCTGAAGCCAATTGTTCTCCAAGTAATACTGAATACAACTTTCAAATTCCTTTGGGTTATAGTTGGAAACCAAGATGGGAATAAAGGGGTCCAGGGCATCAAATCCTTCCTGCAGAAGAAAAAGTAAAAATACAGTGTTTGTGAAATGACAAAGAGGTCAGTTTTATTTAAGCACTTTGAACACAAGGTCTTTGCTTTTCTTCTCAACCCCTCACTCCTGCGCTACCCTGCCTCATATGGGGCTCCACGCATGGTAGCTACTGCTACTCTCTATGGCCACAAACACTGTATTTCAAAATGCCGTAATGCTTGAGGGGCGATGCCACTTGTCTGTGTGTGTGTGGATAACCACAGACTACATTTATGCATTTCACAGTTCTAACTTCAACAGACAGCAGCTTTGGCAGTTTATATACTCAAAAATAAGACAATATATCTTAAGAGGGCAGGGAGAAAGGCCCTAAGTGGAACAAACTGAAATAAACTGAAACAAATGAATCAATCAGGCATGTATTTCAGATGCAACACTGAAGGGAAGGGGAAACTAAGCCAAGTTAACTTGGAACAGAGAATTTGGACTAACGACCCTAAGGCTACAAACAAAAACTACCTAAACAAACACTGACCTCTAGTTTAGTTTTTCACAGTCAAGGGTTAACAATTCTGAATTTACTTTTATTGTTAATACAATACTGAACAGATCAGTAAATACAGTGTGGAAAAGGAGAGCAACTATTATTGATAATAGGGTTTGAACATGGAAAGGGGGAAGGACTATCAGTATGAACCCAAGGTTTCCTAATAGAAGCAGATTAGATGTGTATACACACACCTGTACCTGGTACCTACACAAAGACACGGGCTCTCACTGGTGGTGCAACGGGTCAAAGCACAGCTCTATGAAGTTATCGCAGCCACTGCAGCACAAGTTCGATCTCTGGCCAGGGAGCTGACCCACAT